CATTCATGGTTCTCACATTCCATGTCCCAATCACCAGTGTCTGCTTACAACTGTTCCTCTTCCTTTGTATTTCCATACTTGAAAACTCAACCTCGTTTGCCATTTCTGTTATCTAAATGTGTTCTGTTGTACATAGGGTATTTAGAGGCAGTAAATAGGAGGCACTGGAGGAGATTGTCTTTTTCGCTTGGAGCAGCTGGTAGCCTCCACCGCTTTGTACTGGAAGCCCAACTTCTTGCCCTTGGGCCACCAAAGAAATAGAACCTTTATCTTTGACATTCCAGAATGCAGACATACATTCCTCCAGTATATCCACTCAGGGTAAAAGATAACGTAGACAGGGTATTCCTGTTGCTGGACAGATAATCAAGTGACATAAACTCACATCTCCAGGGGCCTCTGCTGGATGTGATCCTAAGCCAACCTGGCCCACCAGAGGGGGCACGGTTTCAGCGTGCGGACACATTGGGCTGAAACTACGAATCCCGACATTCCGCGGGGCGGGCGGGAGGAGCCGGGCCGGGGGCGGGGGCCGGCAAGAGGGGGCATTGTGTTGGGGATCACCGCGCTGCATTTGTCTGCTCGGGGTGCTAGCCGAGCTTCCCTTGTGGTCGCGGGCCGGGGGCTGCAAGTGTCAGCGGCGGCCGTAGACCCAGGGGGAGGCCGAGTGGGAGGGACTGCACGCCCGCTCGCCCCGATCGCTGGCAGGGGGCGTTGTGCAGAGTGGAGCAACATGCAGATAGGCGCCCGGCGCCCTGACGACCCCTCCCGAGGAAAAGAGGCCGGGGCCGTGCTGGCGCGGCGGGGAGCATGAGGCAGGCCAGGGGGCGGCTCGGCTTGCAGCGCTGCTAAGGAGCCGTGCGCGCGGCACTCGCGCCGGGACGCGCGGAGGGCGGGGAGCCGGGCGGGTCTCGCCAGCGGGCAGGAGCCGGCCGCCGGGAGCTGTTCTGATTTCAGACGCGGACGCGAGGGGCCCGGAGCAGCCCCTGGCCCCGGCGCGCCGCCGACATGGGCAACGCGGGGAGCATGGATTCGCAGCAGACCGATTTCAGGGCGCACAACGTGCCTTTGAAGCTACCGATGCCGGAGCCAGGTGAACTGGAGGAGAGATTTGCCATCGTGCTGGTGAGTGCGCGGTGCGGAGACGCGGGGTCCCTGGCCAGCGGTGCATCGCCCCCCCCCACCCCCACCCCCGGCCCCTTCTTTTCCTCTGGTGCGTGGAGCGAGCCGCCGGTCCGACATAGGATAGGAGGCTCCCACCTTCCCCATTGTGGCCTCTCCCCCTCGCTCTTCTGCCCCCTCCTGGGGCCCCTCGGGCTCAGCCCTTTCGGGGGTCCCGGGATGGAGCCTGAGGCTCGGGACGGGCTGCCCAGCCAGCCCGAACCCATTGTCTGGCTGGAGAGGCACCTCGCGGCGAGTGTGCCCGGGAGGTGCCGCGTGGGTGTGTAGAAGGGAAGGTGGTGTGGACTGGATGGAGGAGGGGGCGGTGAGCTTCTCGGGCTTTTTGTTTGAAGAAAAATAATCCCTGCAAAGCCCCGGCCCCAGCTCTGGGCCGGCGGGGTCCCCCGGCAGATGGGCGCATGTGGCCAGCCGCAGGCGCTGCGCCGGGCTGTGCGCGAGGGCGAACTTGGGGGACCCCCGGCTCGGCTTTGCTTAGAGAAGCTTCCCTTGAAGGGAAAGACAAGGAAACCCACCACAGCGTGGCTCTCCGATCCCTAAGCAAGAAGACGGCTGTCTGAAACCAACGTCGTCTTTGGTCTTAAATCTTAAACCAGGAAAATGTGCAGTTTGCAGGGACGTGTTCCAAGTTGTCCTGACTGCACAGGCGACCACCCCCCCTCCCCACACCCACGCATACACACCCCTCGCCCCTTCTCCTGTTCTTCTCTCAGCTTTACAGCTCTTCAAATTCAAGATTTCCTTCTTTCTCCTTTTCCTGCTAGGACCCAATTTCTGGGCCCCTCCCAGCAGGGGCCTGTCAGTGCTGTGAACTCTGGAGGGTGTGGTGGCTTGCCCTGGCCCCAGCTTGGGTCTGTACAGCAGTTGGTCCCCAGATAGCGATATTTAGAGTCCCAGCTTGTTTTAAGGAATACCAGGAGTGAAGTAGGCGAGATTGGATGCCTTCCTATTCCGCATGTTCTTAATTTCCCCTAGCTGTCCTTACCTCTAAAGTCTCCAGAAACCTAGGTAGCAGGAGAAACTTGGCCTCCACTCAGTCAGCATTTTACATCTGCTGTGAGGTTTGGGTTTTTTTTTTTACTTGTAACTTCTCAACTTAGGCAAAGGACCAGAGCAAGATAAAAATTAGATTTTCTGAGATTGTAGCACTGTCTGGGATGCTTAAACGATCGGTCTTCGAAAGGGGCAAGTTTGGTTCAGGGAATCATGTTCTAGATGGCAGGGTAGCTTTGGGCTCTTTGGAAAAACAGAGGTCACAAGCTTTTCTTCATTGGAAACGCTGCTCTGGTGTGGCATCTGGGGAGAAAGATGAAGTTGCCTGTCTTGCTTTACATCTTCTGTGATCACCCACAGCTGCTTCCTCCGTTGTGTAAGATAGGACACACTGAAATGAAACAGCACAGCCTTAATTACTTCTAAAGGCAGCCTGGGTGCATACTTGACAAGCTTTTCCAAAGGCAGCGTTTTTGTTCAAAACCCTCTTCTTAACACACATGATTTTTACTTCTTGGCTGTGTGAGTGTGAGAGTGTGTGAGAATATGTGTGTAATGAAGTAAGCATGTATGTAAGAAAGAGTGTATGTATGTGTGTCTGGTGTGAAAGCGTGACTGAGAGTATGAATGAATGAATGCATGTGAGAGAGTTTGTATGAGTGAGTTGTGTGTGTGAAAGAGCCTGTGTGTGACTGCGAAAGTATGATTAAATGTGTGTATGTGTGAGGGAGAGTGTGTGTGTGTGTAGGAGAGAGGGGGGAGAGAAAGAAACATCATTGTGGCAGAGGAGGAACCAATGTAGCAGCCATAATAATAATGCAATTAAATTGGCTCAACTGGGGAAGTCACTCTTTGCATGTTTACAGTTACTCTGTTGATTAAAAACACATGGTTTGAATTAATCTTTAGAAAAACAGTGTCTTGTTATTAACGTGGTGGGTTTGTATTACTATTAAGTCTAGTAGTCACAAAATTTAGTGTGTAGGCCTCTATGATTGTACCTCACTGGTTCCTTGGAGTGGTGGTGGTTTGCTCTGGCTACTTTCTTTCACTCCACTTTCCTTCACACACAGCTACAGGATGTGTTTACACTGTTCTAAGCTTACAACAAACAAACAACCAGGCTGACTTTTTATGAATAGTGGCAAAACTTTTGGGAGCATCTTGGCTTTGAGGCCCTTGTTAGAGGTCCTTAGTGTCGTGGTATAATTTATTCTCTCTACTCAGATAGTCAAAAGCTTCTAAAAGTTTAGAGGGAGCATAGAGGAAATGACCTTGACTAGAGAATTGTATTCTGAGTGTTTTGGACCAGATTCTAACCTGTTACTTCCCTAATAAATCCCATTATCCGAGTGTGTGTGTTTGTGTGTGTAAGTTAAAAACAACCTTCCTGAATTTTGTAGTCTAACAGTACTAGGAAGTTATGCCAGTTCCTTTTGTACTCTTTCTCCCCCTACCCCCGACATCATCTATGTGATATTGTCAGCCTTATTTTCTTCATGAGATACTTGAATAAATTCAAACTATTTAATTCTGGAGAGCAAGCTTGAAGGACAAGTCTTTTGTGACGGCTTTGTAAGTAGATGTTGTTTTGTTGTTGTTATGTGCCCTCGAGTCGCTTGCGACTCATAGCGACCCTATGTACAACATCCCTAAACTCTTCTCTGTGCTGTGCCAATCGCACCGTCTCCAAAACACCCATCCTGATTACCCAGTCACTGAAACAATCCACCCCATAGGGGGTCTTCCCCTTCTGCGCTGTCCCTCCACCCTACCAAGCATGATGTTCCTCTCCAAGGACCTGTCCCTCCTTGCAACATGTCCAGAGTATGTTAGACGGAGCCTTAGAATCCTTGCCTCCAAGGAGCAGCCCGGTTTGACCCTTTCCAGGACGAATCTGTTTGTTTTCCTAGCAGTCCATGGTACCCTCAATACTCTTCTCCAGCACCACAGCTCATGATACCCTCAGTACTCTTCTCCAGCACCACAGCTCAAAGGCATCAATTGTTGACCCTCTGCGGCAAGCAGATATATAAGTAGATATGTGGAGGAATGCTCCATCCTTAGTGGGGGCCATGCTGATGTTGTTGAGACTAATTGTGTATTTTTATGCCATACAGCTTCATATACATTTTAAGAGCTAAACCAAATAGTAATACTGTACAGAAAAGTGTGTAAGTGATTAAAAAGACCACCGCTTGGACCAGGCACAACTCATTCTTTAAATGGACATCCTAGCTATTCAGCACTTTAGAAGAGATCTTTTACAGCAGATTCCCCCATGCAGCACGTCTTTTTATTTCTTGATTACTGTTACCTTGGGAGTTGACTGTGGATCCAAGATGAAATAGTTGACAACTTGTAATAATAGTTATAAAATGTATTTAAGAGTAAAGATTATTAACTCAGTGCATACATTAAATCATTTGACATCTTTGTATTTACCTCTCAGGTAGAACTATATAGTGATATATGTGTGTGTATGCACAGAGGGGAGATAATGTTTGTTATTGTTTTCAGTGGGAATACTTTGTGAACTATGCATGCAATCATTGTTTCTTTAGAATGTACATATTTGACAGGTAGCCTGTAGCTTTTAATTTGGTTCTCCACTGTATTTATTAAATATTTATAGTTGGTAGAGAGGTTGTAAGAAGTTCTGATGATGTCAGAGTTAAGCATTTTGCTGCCAGAGGTTGGTGCTTTAAACTTACCAGCTACTACTTGATAGAAAAGACCTAATATTCTGATTTTTTAAAGAGTTTAGCCTAGGGAATTCTGTGAGACAGTTTTGCCCTGTCCCCTAAGGTCACTATGGTCACTGTGAGTTGTAGTCAACTCCCTGTTGCCTAAACAGCAACGATTTTTGGCTTGTAGTTACTAGCTACAACCTAAAATACTAGATTTCTCTCTGATGCCTTTGTATAGGAGCTGTCCTAAGAAACCCTTTCCTTGAGATTCAGAGGAAAAGATAATTTTAAATCCCGTTTTAGTTTTTGTATTTCTGTGCCACATCACATATCAAGCAGCTCTGCCAGCAGATTTAAAAAGACAGATTAGCAGGTAATGGTTTTAGTATTATCACATGTTTGATGCTGGGAATTGCTTTGGTAACAGGATAGATTGAGTCAATTCCCTTTTCAGTTTCTGTTCTTGTCTTGGGGTTGAATATAGTCATTCTGTTTTAGGAAGAAGTATCTGGTATGATTCAGGCCGTATGCAGGTACTTCTTAAGTATTTTCCTCACTTAATTCTGACAACTCCAGTTGTTGTTGTTAGGTGCCATGTAGAGTTGGCCCCAACTCATTAGCCCCCCCAGGTACACAGAATGGGACTCTGCCTGATCCTGTACAACCTTCACAGAGATAATCTTTGTTGTGCATTAAGCACGTTGTTGCAAGCACTGTGTCAATCTGTGTTGAGGGTCTTCCTCTTTTTAAATGGTCCTCTGCTTTTGCAGCGGCATTAGAAAAGAGGAAATAAAGTTTACTTAAATTGCTTAACATCATATACCCTGTTCAGTAGAGACGTGTGGATTGTAGTCTGTGGTTCTCTTCTGTACTTCCCCATCCCTCATTTAGATAGTTGCATCCCTAGACCTACAACTCAAAAGAAAAAGGAAAAAAAATGAGCTACAGACAAACAGAATTTTAAATCTGGTGGAGAGTGTTTTATGTGTTGGGCAGCTCACTGGGAAGTCACAAGCTGAAACCCCTAGTCACTCCGAGGGAGAAGGAGGAGACAATTCCTTCCGCAGAGATGTCCAGCCTTAAGCCCTAATGGCGCATCACCAGGACTCAGAATCAACTCAAAGGCTGTATGTTTTGTTTTTGGGTTTAGTTGACATAAATTTAAAAAGCCCCAAATTGGCAAAAACGCCTTAACAGTTACTGTTGCCCAATGTCTAAAGGGGAAGTGCATTTGATGCTTCTCTTTGGATAGCACACGTTTTT